GGTGAGCGCGAGGAGATAAATGTAGCGCAATACACGATGCAGAAATGGAATTGCCATAGACCCCGCTCGGGGTACTTTGTCCTTCGGGATATTATATCGTCCCGTCCTGGAGGGAAACGAGCCGATATCTGGATCAGAGTCTCAGAGACGTTCCGGACCATTATCTCGCAGGAATGGCCGTGCGACGCGCGTACATACATTAGATTAAAGAAATACAGCTACGTCAAACCGCACGTCGGGATAAGCGAGCGCGGGATTTTCGATTTTCTCTCGGTCGGAAATCGGGGTCGACTTTTCGAAACGATTCGAGCCGCGCGTGGCGTGAAGCCGCATAATTTGCACGTTACACAAATGTTTTCGCGAATTGGCAGTTCTAGGGGCAAAAGGTGCGAAGGGTGCAGAATCGGCATCCCCTTAAACGCTCGCGATCGGGATCCGTCTTCGGGAAAATCGGCGCTCTCGTCCGAGCGCGAGTGGAGGCTGCGATCGCGATGCGGCCGGCGGAGGTCGAGGTGGAACGCGAACGGACAAGAGAAGGTGGGAGGGTACGACGATTCGCACTCGCGATAATAGAAACGTCCGTGCACGTAGCGCACGTAGGCACACATTCGTGCCGATAAAGGCCGACGCATACGTTAGCTCGCGCCCGCGCGCGGATGGCCCGCGCCCGATAAAGCGTCCCGGATAATGATTTCCGAGACATTCGGCCGCGTACAGGTATATGGTACGTACGGGCCGCGTTACCTCGATTGTTCGCGTCACGCGAGATGTTTACGCCCGAGATTGCGTTTCCGCGTGCGTTCACCCGAAACGGAGAGCCCGCGCGCGAACGTGCACGTCCGGCACCCTCCAAGTGGCTGGACGCGCGCGAACCGAGAAACGTCAATCAACGAGTAGGCTCTGCCACGTGCTTAAGAGACCACGTAATAACGAGTATACTGGTAGCATTGCTTGAAACATTAATTACAAGAAGGGGGTTTTTAATCGAAACACGATACGTACACTGATGAAAAAAATATCTTAATCCAAAACCGTATTACTTTACACAAGAAAATTATTCATTAGGTGGCTCCTAACTTATTACCTTAAATTTAAAAATTAATAAACAAATTAAAACACGCATTGCTTTAATTTAAGTATTTATTAATATGAAATTTGGAAGGAATGTTCTAAACGCGAATCTCCTAACGCCCTGCTACGTTCGATTGCGTCAAATTGAAGTGATTGAAAAAAAAGTCGGTGAAATTTTCAAACGAGACAAATGATAATTCACAAGGAACGCTCACGTGCGAGGTCAAAGCTTTTCAATTTTATCAGATAAGCTGCTTATTGTAGTGCATAATTAATTGAAGTCGACTCGAGCTGCTCCGCGAAGTCGGCGCGTTAGTTCAGCCTGCGTGCGCTTTCTATTCGCGTGAAAAACATCGTGATAATCGGGACGAAAAGAAGAAACGTTCCTTGCACACGCTGCAATTTCTGCGAGTAAAGCCTACGATGCCGGCGATATGATAAAATTAATCTTACGTGCGCCTTCCGCGGACAATCTCACGTCACGATCTACGTGCGATCCACTTTGGCTTATCTGCGGTAAGAAAATTTCACGAGTCTCGTCGGTTATCTGCTCTGGACAGTGATTGTACTTTAGGTCGCGAGTTGATAATCGTTAACATTTCACGTCGATTCCACGAAGAACGATTGTTTCGCAGTAACAAGATTCTCTGCTCGCATCGAGAGACGACTAAAACCTGCTACGAACGCTCTTGAGAGAAAACGTAGTCGATACCGGTGTCACTATTAATTGATGGAAGGGAGTTTTTAATCGAACGGCAGTACAAATGCTTAAAGTTACCGTTTATAGTCGTACATTGGGAATCACTGGGGAATGGGACACATTCATTTTTGCTTAAAACGACCGATACTATCACCTCCCAGAATATTAACCTTCCCTCCTGGGACACCTTGTATATGCATGGAAAATGTGTGTTCTACCTGTGCCTAAATTCATATGGGAAGACACCAGTGATCTCTGGTGTACAAATTAGTACACGATTGTAATTAATTGAGGCAAAAAGTGAGGTGAGACATTCCTTAAACGCGAGTCCCCTCGTTCCAGGCGCGTCCCGCCTTTGTGCTCCTGTACACGCTCAAGTGTCGCCCAATGACAAGTGGCAGCGATAAACGTCTAACGCTAACGATGACCATTTGCAACGCCGAACCTGGGATTAAGCGAGATATCAGTCTAGCATCTCACGCATCACGGCGGAATATTAAAGCGCCGATCGATCTTAATTGATCGCGCTCGTTTCTCGCGGCGCAGCACGCGCGCAGCCTCGCTGCACGCTTATCGGTACGTGCGCGCGTTCAAGACCTCCTCCCGTGGGAGGCGAGCCGATAAAAGCGGCCCGGAGTAGCCGCAGTGACCGGGCAATCAGCAAATGGAATCGTTAGTTAGTCCCCGTAATCTTCGATCGGACGTTAGTTCCTCCTTGTAGTACACGCTCGCGGCCGGCCGATCGTGATTCACGTTCGCGATCCCGAGCCACGCTAGGGTCCCGCGCGCCCTGTGTTTATCGCCGGTGCTATAAGCGCACCGGCGCTAATTAGCATATTATTTATCGCCCTTTTATAATTGCCCGCGCGGATTTTCGAGTCGCAAAAATGTTGCTCGCCCTCCCCCGGCAATTTGCGCCGGGGAGCCTAATTCGATTTTGCCCCTCGCTACCGAGCCGCGCTCCGTATCTCGCGTTCGCGCTATATCGCGCCGATAGCGAAACGTTGCCGTATCCGTCGGGAATCGCATTATCATAATTAACACATATTATGCGCGTATGTATATCCCGCGTCGAAAACAATTCGTAAGCCACGTCATCGACGATGCGCTCCGCGGAATTATTCAGTTCTCGAAATCGGGGGGGTACCTTCGGCGTGGGGGCCGCGCACGAACGCGCGGAGATATCGCGATTCGCGCGGGTTGTTCGAGCCGGCTGATCCTCGGGGGAAGATTTTACGGGCCGTGCTCGTAAATCAGGTCGCTTCTGGCAGCCCTCGCTGACGCGAAGGGGCGACAGGGCGATGTGTGTGACGCGGCGAAATGTCGGACCTATTTGTACTTGATGCCCGCCGGCGCGATGTTGCGTCTCGCTCGGATCAGAACTGGCGTGCTGCTTTCCTTCGCGGACGGATGAAGAACATCTGGATTTATACTCGTGATCTCGTAGACTTCGTGAATTAGTGAAAAACGACGGCGACGGAGACGTGCGACGGTTTACACTAAAAATTTACCAAGTCCAGCGAAATCCACCGTGCCGGAATTTGTTACGATTCGCTACAAAAGGGAAGATAAGAAATGACACATTGCGTTGATACGCGCCTGGAAGCGGAGGAGACTCGACGTCCAATGTCCATCGACCAACACTTTTTTTCCATACGTATTGTTAACTTTCTATCCCGAGATAAACGATTATTTTGTCCATTGTTTGTCCGCCTCGCCCATTGTACTCGCATACAAGCCACTTCTGCAACTTCACTCGTTTTATTTATTATTTGTTAACATTTTTTCTGTAGTTGTGAATTAAACATTATGATCTGTTCAATTTTATATACGTACTTGTATTTATCTCTGTATACTTTTAATAGTTGCAAAAATGGAGTCAACGATCCCCGTGGCTGGCGCGCAAGAAAAATTCATCCCACCACGAAAAGCGAAGCCGAATGTCCTATAGACGTATCCCGCGCGTGCGAACGGAAATAACATTACCCGCGTAAGATATACGATCGCATCGGCATGTCGCGGTATGAAAACCGTGCGGCAAAGAAGGCGAAGGATATCGGGTGCTCCTCAATCTTAGGCGAGGCTGAGACAAAAACGAACATTGTCTCAGTGCGCGAGAAATGCACTCGCACATCGCCGGGGAGCGAAACGCGGCGCAATTCGAAAAGACGCTCCCGATGCGCAAGCCGCACGTGAATAATGGGCGAAGCGTGAATGCCGCGAATGTAATATTCAGCGGATATAGTAGCGTATTTAGTGGCGGTTGAACGTTTTGCGCGCACAAAGCTGCGCTTAAGTACTTAAGGCTCATCCGTTATAGACAGAATTAACGCTCGGTTATCGACCGTCCGGCGTGGAATCTCCGTTTCAAAATCATCCGTGAAAAATGTAACAGCATTACCCGCCTCGAAATCGCTGGTGAAGTAATAAAATATTATGGGAAAGCGAGTACAAATGCACGATTGCGAGCTGGCATGAACGTAACAGCGAAACCAAGTTTTACGCATTTTATCAAAAGTATAGAACTTTGGTGTAACCCACGTGAGAGCGTCATTTCTAATTTTGTAATACTAATCTTTCCGATTTTAGCAATTGACCGTGCGCATCTGTTTATGAGCGATAATACTCCCGCGTCGAAACTTTGCTCCTATGTTGAACCTTTAATTCTATTATACAGTAGAACCTAAGACAGTAAAAGAGGTCGAACTGCAAGTACAAAATTTACTCCTACTTTCAAACTGATGGTGTCGGAAATTTATACTTTTGCCAATTTAGCATTAAAGTAGGTCCTTTTAAGTAGGAGCTGAAGTAAATTTTTAGGATTAAAGATTCAAGGGAGGGGTAACAAAATAGAACGTCATCAAAGTAGGTAATTGCTGGTCTATGTAGGTGTAGATCAGCTAAGTAGGTGCAAATTATCGTTAAAAGTGCAAAATAGTACAAAAATTTCGACTCGGGCTGCTACTGCGTTTGATAAGATGTGTCGATAAAAACTGTATACCTTATGCAGCGACTTCATCCCGCAGGTGAGGTGACTTTGAGACTCCACTTTCGTCGTTTCGCGAATACGTGCAGTTTGCGATCGGTAACAAACCGGTCGATCGCCGTACCTTATTACGCCACGAGGCGTTATTTACGCGACGCTTTTACGAGACCGCAGCGCAATTTCGAGTTGCAGATTTTTCTTTACGACGCCGTCAGCTCGCCGCGCCGATTCGGCCGGCAGGTCGAATCGGCGACGCATCGGCAGGCGTCGTTTCGAGCCTCATATATTCTATTATCCGCGTCTCGCAACGAAGGGGGCTGGAACGGGGGTCCGGGAGGATGCGTTATAGGCGGACGCGCTTCGATGTGTTATTCCGGGAGGAGAGTTTTACGAGCGGAATACGAGCCGCCGTAATAAAGACGTCGCGCGCGACCAGACCGAGGAGAGGATGGCCCGCGAGTATCGAACGCTCGCTCTCCTCGGAGTAGGAATAAGCCCGCGATAATTAGACTGCGAGAACTCCAGCTGCGATTAGCGCGACGCGGATTAGTTGCTCCGTGCGTGCATCGGAATCCTCCCCGACACGGTGGGAAACCTGCGCCGGCGGCGAGTACGTTTCCAGCTTCGCGGAACCGGACAATAATACGAGGACGAGAATTCCGAAACCGTGAGAGCTGGTCGCGATGCGAAAGCTCCTCGGGCAGAAGAACGGAAGCCACAAGAGGGAGAGATGATAATTATTTTACACGACAGTGTAAGATAATTGCATAATAATAATATATGAAAAATGATAGTATGTTGCTTAAAGAATTTTGATATTTTGACGGGCGTCAAATATCATTTCTAATGAGGTGTGCCGGTAGCACTTTGTCGGATGTTTAGAAGATTTACAGTTACGCGAAAACTCCTGCACGGAAAGGAAACGGTAGCTGCCGTAGCTAAAACCTACACGTGCCATGGTAACTAAATTTCAGTTGCAAAATATGAACAGCTAATATTTAGTTGCGACAGCTGAATAGTTTGCTACTGTGCCTATTGTATCGGACAGCAAACCGTTCGTTGTGCTTTAGAAATTTATAGTTATGGCAACAAAGTGTATCTTCCGTGATTGCGGTAGCAAAAACGTTTCTTTCAACACGCGAGACAATTCGAAGCCGCAACGGTCCCCGACTTACATGTTCTAACACAAAAATTGCATCGCCATTTCGGTATTTCAGAATCGTTTGCGTTTAGCACTGGATGCCTCGATCTCCTTACTCTCCCGCTGCATGCTAAGGGAATTGATAGTTGCCATTGTTTTCGTTCCACGAGGGGGTTGATTTAGGATCACCGCCGTACGCGGTGCGTTCGCGCTGCATTTCTCAGCGGCGTCGCATTGCATCGCGTCGGTGCCGCGCGGTTAGATAGTCGGCTCTACAAGAGCCATTTAATACGGGACGAAAAGAGAAAGAGAAAAACAGAGAAAGCGAACAAGCGAGAGAGAAAGAGACGGGGGAGGGGAGAGAGAGAGAGAGAGAGAGAGAGAGAGAGAGAGAGAGAGAGAGAGAGAGCCCGTTTAGTGCCAATGTCAAAACCAACGCAGCATCGCCCACGTGTCCGCGTGTCGCCGGCGAGAGAGTCCTCCCCCGTCGGCGGCGACTTGTTGCGCCCGAGCGGGCACATGAGTAATTCCGTCGAAATTGATGAACTCATTACGCCCGTATCGTTCTCTTTACATCGTCGGATTAAGCGAGCCGGCCGTAAATCCACCGGCCGGGCATTATTTATGCGATCGGCGGGGCCCCGTAGAGACGCGCCGGAGGCGGCCCGCGGCCGTCCCGGACCTGCCCTAAAAGGACGCGGATCTTTCGCCGCGCGCCGCGATCGTTTCATTTTCGCCGCCCCGCTAATTGCATTTCGCGCGTTCGCTTCTATCCCCTTTTAAATTTTATTTCATTCCCGCGTTCTATTACCGAGGGCCCGCGCTCGCCGACGATTTTTCCCGGCGATCGAGCGGACGCTGCTTCGCGATCCCGCGCTGCCGGAGTGCTTTGCATACGCGGGATCGCACCGAATGTCGAATTTGCGAGACTCCGTCGGCGCATTCTCCCGAGTTTTTTTTTCGCGCGCGCGATAAAGTAGAGATGTAGGCGAATAAATCAACCAATTGTTATTCATCGGTTTCTTTGCAAAAGCAATCTTCCGAGAAACACGGTGTATTAATGATTTCGATCATTATTATCGATTATTACTATCGATTAATTATTATTCGTCCTCGACGGAGCAAATCATTTACAATTAGATTTGAATATGATAATTCGGTTTCAAGCGAGAACGACCCGCTTGTCTCGGGAGAGATTTATCTCGGCTCCGTTCGCGTCTCGTAACATTGTGCAATTGCCGTGTATTTGCATCGGTATGCGCGAAACTCTTTCTTCCATCCGTCGACTACCCCCCAATGTCATTATGCAGCTGCGTAATGACACGCGCGTTTGTCGTTTTGGCATTTGTGACGCCGCTTATTTCGATCGTTGCTGATGAATGCGTTGTAACTAGCAATAACGCAATTTCAAGGTAATGAAGATTACGCGTGTGAGAGATAGGCCGCATTAATTATGCGTACACCTTCGATAACGCGTAACGAGGTATTATTAACAATGATAACAAACTATTAAGCGGATTCGACGCGTTATCAGCAGCAATCAAGCAGCCGTTTCAGCAAAACGTTAATCCTAAATAACGTTCGGAAAACCTGTTTAGGCAAGTCGGATAAAATCGCCTCGCGAAGGCAACATTATCGTCATTACCGGCAGATAATTCATTCGCGCGAGGAAATCCCTGCGTATCAATTCCCCGACGCTTTCATTGTTTAAACTGGAATTGCTAATGTAGCGCGTCTCTTGAAACCCCATAACTTTGATTCTTAACATTTTTCTCCAAAAGAGATATTCTTAGAAGAGGCTAAATAAGATCCCCGTATAAATTTGAAATCGATCTTGTCTTAAAGTGATTTGCATAACTACTTAAGTAATATCGACAGCCGAGCAACGAACAAGGTCCATTCGACGCCCGCTGCGAGGAGATTTAAAATCCAGCCAGCGTGAATTACCTTTCGTTACAGCGTCGTCATTATTACGCTCGCGCCTTTTGCGCGCACGCATCCTTATTACATGGGGCGCGGAGGTCCTGCGGTCCGCGACGCGCTCGGTGCCCGGAATGCGCGCGCAAGATCGACGTCTCGTACCCGGGACCAATAAACGTTGATTTATCGGCGTGGAAATCGAGCGCGGGGTGATTTGCGACCGTGGGCACCGAACAGGCACTCACGGGGCACCGCGCGCGATCCCGCGGGCCCCGTAGGGCCCCGCTAGGGCCCCGTCGCGCGCGACGCCGGGTGGGGAATCACCGTAAGCGCGCAGCGGAGCAGGTCCACGGGGATCCTATATAAGAGGATGCGACCGAGAGCTTGCACTCTCACACCCGTTAGCCGACTCTCACCGGGATTGTCCTAGGCGAACGAAAGAGTAGTAAAGCCCGCGATCGAGGGGCCCCGATCCGCTAGCCACGATCGAGCGACGGTTCACCGGCGGCGCCTGGTCCAACCGAGGACGATCATGATACTCGTGAGTGAATCCTGCAGTTTCGTTTTGGCGTCGCTGCCGAATTTCTGGCGCTCGCCAAATAATTAGACGCGACCCATTGGCGAGGTGTAATCTGTACTTAGCATCCCCGTACCGTTTTAGGATTTCTTTTACTCGCGCCCAATTACCTTGACCACTTTGCCATTAATCTCAAAGTAGTTATAGTTTGCAGCATCTCTCGTGCCCTCGCCGTGGGTGTTTTCTAATTCGATTCGTCCACCTTCGCGGCATCGGTGATAAACTTTTGGCGTTTTACCCCGCGTTTGACAAACGAGGACCGAGGTGAAACACAAGTTTTGCTATTGGATTTTACGCGTTCTCGGCGGTGAGGCGAAAGTTTTACAATTCAATTTACAAAACATCCGGCATTTATCGGCCACCGCGAAAATCTTCCCACGAGAGATGCGCACCCAGCTGTATCGATCGTAGGATTATTTAATCACCCGAGCGTATCTCGAGGCGGAGTCCATATTAATATGTCAATAACTGTTTCTATGGTACCATTTTAATGCGAGCATCGGCTAACTCAGTATCTCCCGGTAATAACTATTGATTTGACCGCACCGCGGTACAGTTATGGTTGCTCGCTGGCGGTCGTAGTCCTGGATTCGTCGCTCGCAATTCGAGGAATGTGGCTTAGCTCCGCGGAAAAACATCATAACGAATGCAGTTCGATTGTGCCGGGAGGCCGTTCCGCGTAATCGAGCTGAATCGATGAAAGTTATGCCGCTCGGGACGAGGCGCGGTCTTCCCTCGTATCGCGTGTGTCTAAATAGCGACGTCTCGTGTAGAAAAGTATGCCTGCCATGTAATGAAAATCGCATTGTTACGTCTGTTGCAGCTGATGCGTCGCTGTTTAATTAATTGATTGACAAACACAGCTGTTCGGTGTGACAAGACTTAGAGGAAAGTTCCGTATTATGAGATGGGTTTCTCATATGAGATAGCAGGTTTTCAACACCCACATTCAATCACAAATCTTTTTTCGCAACGATTACGCGATCTAACAGTGAATTTTCCCACTAAACAGATTTCGCACCCAAGGGCAATAAATTCGTGGCGGAATCACCTGACGATTCCTGTGAATTTAGCCGAAACCCCGCTATCTCATAATAGGAGGAGACTTTCCTCTATCTCATTTGCGGATTGGGACGTTTAAGGCCCGGTTTCGCCAATACTGTTTTAGCTTAATTCGTTCTTTGTCTCTTTTCAACTGTTATTTTAAAAAGAGACAAACGTGAATTAAACTGAGATTAAAGTTAAGCGACGTTTGGTGAAACCGGGCCTAAGACAAATATCGCTCTTTAAAGTGAACGCCTCAACAAGTTGATGTTGCATACTACAGTACCAATTCGAGCTACGGAATCTTTAATTTCCAGTATATCTTAATCGTTTCTGCCAAAGTGTAAATTCAAGCCCAATTATTCGATACCTGGCCGTTAAAATTCACGGCTGCAGTGAATGGACGTTGGTACCAATTTGTTTGCGAGTACTGCAGTATTGTTTATTTGCAGATGTTGCAATATTATTTAGCGAGATAGTAATAATCCACGGGAGGATTTCGTTAATAACCGTATTTCGCCGCAAATCGATATACAAATTTGTCATACTTTCAACTCGATCGAACATCGATCAGCTCTACAGTGACAATTTTTCGCAGGCCAATCGTATTTTCGACCGAGACTATTTACGAGAGCGTTGACACACCGATAGAAATTCGACAAGATCAATTGTAATTAACGCTCGCCACATTTCTCTGCCCACAGACAATTTTGTGCAGCCTCGTCATCGGACGATCTATCGCTTCGCCGCTCTCCAATGTTTGGCTGAGCCCGATACCGGCCCTCTCGCCGTTGAGGCAGTACCACCTTCAGGACGGCTCGGGATCTTATCAATATTCCTTCACGGGGCCGCATCACGCCAAGGCGGAAACCACCTTGAACGGCGTCACGCAGGGTGGTGAGTCTTTCTGAATTTTACGCATTCTGACACGTTCCGGCGGTGAGACAAGGTTCGCCGATAAATCGCCAATCGCTGGGACGCCTTAAATGTAAAGCGAAATTTCTTTGCAACGGCCGGCAAACGCCTGTCACGACTCGTGATCTAATGCGCGCGTCGCAAGTGCATAAATGGAATGCATTCTTTTGCAAAGTGTGTTACAAGAGGTGCATTACCGGCCTACGTTCGCGAGTGAATCTTTCGCTAATGCTCGCCGCGCATGACGTAAGAAAGACGCCCATACGCCGCATGCTCGTCCCTGCAAATTTCCTCGGATGACAATGCGCGGTTGCGCGTTAGAGCCGCTTCTCTCTCAATTGCATTGATGACTCACGACACGCGTAATGTAACGCGCGCGAAATTATATATGAATATATACGTTAATCGCCGATCTGTCTAATTAATGTTATTTTACCAATCAATGGCAGCATTAATTACAACGGGTAATGTATAATGAATGACTGACGATTTATATTGTAAATAACTTCCTCCGCGCGAACAAGGCGAGCTCCCTAGCTGGCACAATGGCGCCGTTGTCGAAGAGTGTCGTTTCTATCTGCGCCCACAGGATATTCCTACATTGACGCAAATGGAATTTTGCAAACGGTCTCGTACACGGCGGACGATAAGAATGGATTCAGAGTAAGCGCGAGCAATCTGCCGCAACCACCGAAGGATGAACAGCAAGCTACACAGGACACGGCGGAAGTGGCCGCGGCGAAGAGAAATCATCTCGAGGAGCTGCAGAAGTCGCATCAGGCCAATTGGCAGGATCAGAATCTTCTGTCGTACAAGATCGTGCCGTCGTACTTCAGCTTCGCCCAAATCCAGCCGGACAGCAGCGGCAAAGCTGAACTGAATTTGAAGACGCGAGAGCTAGAGGTGCGTAAGTCGCGGCGGACATCTCGAGGTTTGCCCGAATGAACGAAACGCCGCGGTAAAAAGGAAGAATCAAACGCACGAAAAATGTACAGCAGTGCACTGGGAAAATCGGATAATCCAATTACGTAATAACAAACGGACATATCCGATGAAAAATGTGATCGGTTTTTCAATCAAGTTTCATCGGTAACTGCATTTCATCGGATGTATTCATAATTTTATCGGAAAACGTATAATCGGAAAAATTGACCATCGGAAACGCTATTTAATTGATTTATCCGAAGAACATTTTCCTCAGTGTAGTATACCGACTGATCCCTTTCGCGAGGTCGTGTCTCGATTTTACGCAATTTCTAGTTCTGGGCCAGAATGCGCGTTTAGGCAGAAAAGCCGGAAATTGCGTAAAACCAAGTTACGACCTTGCGAAAGAGATCAGTCGATACACGGTTTTGTAATTCAAAATAAATTTCAAAAAGTAACATGTAAAAAAACAACGTTCCAAATCCATTCATATCTGTCCATCGTTAAAACAAAAAAAAACAATCAAATTTATAAGGCTCTGCCGTGAAATCACAATTCGAAGGAACAGAGGATACCCGAGACAGGATGTTGGTGTCTAAATGATTAAAAATTTTTAATTTGTTGTGAAAAATTTACCCCAGGGTTTGAACCTGAACTCCCCTCTCACTAAACGGGCGTCTCACCAATTCGACCACCGAGGCATTAAATGATTTTTAAAAAATTCTTTTCTCAGGGTACCAACAATCCCTTCTTGTTATCGAGATCGGAAGCGGATAGAATCAGCGTTCCCAAGCCGGATCCGAGCCTCTCGAAGGTATCGCCCACGTCTTCGGGTCTCACCAGCACTATCGCCTCGTCGTTAGCACCCGCGACGTCACTAAGGGAGAACACGCTCCTCAAGGACGACGAACGGACGTCTAATCAGAATGCCCTGCACTTGGGGAGGCTGGTGCCGCTTGGCAACATCCAGAAACGGTTAGCCTTGCCCGCGCCCTACGTGCTTCCGGTGATGCCTTACCGATTCCTTCACAGCTCGCTGCATCACACCCAAGACTCCCTCGGCCAATACGATTACAGTTACACCGGGGACTCGAGCGCCAAAACCGAATCCAGGTCGCTCGACGGCACAACCAGAGGGGCCTACAGTTACATCGATCCCAACGGGATTCTTCAGCAGGTGCATTACATCGCCGATCACAACGGATTCAGAGTCATGGCAACTAATCTGCCCGAAGCGAAGTGATCATCGTGTCGGCGCAGTAGAAAATGTCCCGCGGGGCGTAAAAGCGTTCGAAGTGCGATGTCATGTATCAAACATTAATACCGCACACAATTTCCTTTCCTGAATTTCGAATTTGTCAGCGGCTCTCAATCTCGCGGAAGAATCGAGCTAATATCGTTTACGAGCTCTCGTCCGGTAACCGCCAACGAACAGTTACGTAACGGCAACAATACAATTTCTCATTCAACAATATAAATGTAATATAACACATGTGGTGCATAACAGTTACATTGTTGAGCGGAAAATTATAACATTCATGTTATGTAACCGTTAGTCGGCGCTTACTAAACAGTGGCAGAATGTATTTTTGTAACTTTCGATCAACAAATTCGTTTCAGACAAACAATATTATTCGACCGCAACTGGCTACGAATTCAATTCGACGAAACTTAATGCGAAAAGTATTACCTCAGCCAGGATTCGCTCGGTCAAATTCAAGTTTTCAATCAAGAGAGCACGGCGAAAAGATTAAGTGAATACACATATTTCGTGTATTTATTTCACGCATCTTGATTGCTTTGTTGAATTACTCGCGACAGCCGAGGAGCAGGAAGAAGGTGTACCAGAAAATTCGTATTCAAATGTAACGTCTCGCGCAATAAGTATCGGTGTCGGGGATTGGAGGAAACATTACGCGAATGCTTCTCGAGTTTGTTCAACGATTGTTCTCGCGGCAACGCGGAGGAACGGACTTGATTCGTATTCGAGTATCCTCCTACTCTTTATTATTTTTTTTATGTTAAGCTTACTTCGCGCACGCGATTGCGACCGGATAAATTATTTCACGTTTCGCAAACATTCCTTTATTATCTTTAGATCGAAAGGCGTTAATGATGTCATGTTTTCCAGATTGTTAGTAGATTGCACTTATTGATCATATTACGTAAATACAGATGAAAAATGCAATCTCTATTGTCTTCATGTGTCCTCCTGCCTCCGCTTTGTTCTCTCTCAATCATTTCTGCATGAAATGGACGGGTGAAATGAATAAATGCAATAGATTTGCATATATTCGTTGTTTAACGCGCGCGCAATATCCTCAAATCTTTATATATTTATTTAAAATGTAACTTCTTTCATTAGTGAATTAATAATAATAAAAATGAACGGAAAATAATTTAGAGGATTATCTTAATGGAAAATTGTTCAAACTTTTAAATTTCGCAATTTTTAGTAAACTCGATAGACCTCGCAGGCACGTTTTCTCTTTAACGTCTCCTCGCACCTTCGAATTTCAACTGTTGAGGAATAC